AGATTGTTGCTTCTACGTGGATGATTGTTTAGCCTCCTTCGATGATGATAAGTCTGCAGTTAGATTTGCAACAAGCATCACTGAAGTGTTAGCTAAGGCCGGCTTTCGTCTAACTAAGTGGGTCTCGAACAGCCTAGACGTTTTGAAGCATATAGATCCAGAAGACAGAGCACCTACCGTACGAGATTTGCCTGTTGATACTCTACCAGTTGAACGCACATTAGGTATGCGATGGGATGTGAACTCTGATACCTTTGGATTTAGTGTTGGTGATATTGATAAGCCAGTTACTCGGAGAGGTGTGCTCTCTGTGTTGTCGTCCGTGTTTGACCCACTTGGATTAGTAGCACCTTATCTACTTCCGGCTAGGAGGTTATTTCAAGATACAATGAGAATAAATAAAAACTATATAAAAAATTAATAAAGAGGTAAGAGGTGAGAAAAATAGACTTAGGTCAAGTTAAAAGGACATATTCAAGGTCAAAAAATAAAAATGAAGACCACTAAACCAAATAACAGAGGTAATAGTACATCTGCTATGGTATCAAAACAAAATTTACCAAGGAAGGTTTAATGTAATGACAAATTGTTTTTGAACACATAAAGGTGGCTTGAACTTTCTAATTGCTAGGGCTTCTACAAACTTTAGGATACGCCCCAAACACGTTTTATAGATAGGTTTAAAAGATCTGTTAACATCAATTTTATGACCTGTCTCTATAATATGTTTCGCAATAGAAGAGCTAGGTCTCCTGTTCTCACCGTTAATAGGTTCTGATGATTCCATTTGTTTCTGGAGCCATTTTGGAATATGTTCTGAAGCCCTTACTTGCAGAGATCGATGAGTCCTCCCTATGTATGTGTGTCCACACGTACATTCAAATTGGTAAATACAGTGGGATGTGACGTCATTTTTCGCATGTTCGAAGGGCTTAGATAGATATAATGGCTTTACATTCTCTAATATTATGATATTAGCTGCATAAAAAGTCTTTTTAACAGCAGCGTTCAGCCTTTGTCTAGTTATCAAGCTGTTTTGATGTCCCATATAGGGTAGCTTGATGTACACGTCTTTCTTAGGGGCGAGTTGGAGAGTGGGTCTTGGTGTTCTGACTACTTTATATCTCCTGATGAACTTTTCTGGATAATTGTTATCAACCAGAGTTTGTGTCAAAATTCTTTCTTCTTCATCAAGCGTGTCTTCAGTGCATATTCGTCGGATTCTACTGAAGAGGCACCTTACTAAGCCTCTTTTGTACCGAATAGGGCAGAAACTGTGGTAGTTAAGATACTGTCCTGTCCAGGTAGGTTTTCTATAAATAGATCTTTTTATTGACCCATCAAGCCGTCGACTAAGCAATATGTCTAGGAAAGATAAACAATTATCTTCCTCTTCTACAGATGTAAGTGATATGCTATTCTGAACTTCATTCATTCGATTTAAAATTGAGGTGGCAGAATAAGGCTTATCACTGATGACTACGATATCATCTACATACCTTCTATAAAGTGGCACATTTTCGATTAAATCTTCCGATAAATTCTCAATGTACGACATATAAATATCTGCTAAAAGGGGCCCTAACGGACTGCCCATAGCAACACCATCAACTTGGCGGAAACAGTCACCTTCAAATGTAAACCTAACATTGTTAGTACATAGAAGTAATAATTCTTTTAAGTAAGATATAGGGAATGGGATGAAAAAATTGTTTGTGGAAATATAATCACACAAAATGTCAACTGTTTTGATCAAAGGCACATTAGTGAATAACGAGTTTACATCAAAAGAGTACATATTCTTGTTCATAATATTAATATTACTATCATCAAGAACATCAACCAATTCAAATGTATCTTTTAACACATACTTACAGAATTGTGTTTTGACTGGATTCAATAATTCCACTAACCATTTAGCAAGTTTATGCGTTGGGGATTTGCACATTGACAATATAGGACGTAGAGGATTATTGGGTTTATGTATTTTTGGCAACCCATACATATGTGGGAATTTACAATCTGACGGTTTTAATGAGTCAAGTTTATCTTTACTTATAGCATTTAGGCCATGAAGCTTCAGTAGATTAGCTGTCACTGTGCCCTGCAACAACTGAATATCTTCTGAGGAGGGATCACGACTAAATTTGCTCTTATCATCAAGAATAGACATCATTTTTGATTTGTAGTCACTTTTATTCATAATGACGACTCCAGAACCTTTATCAGGTTTAGTAATAATTATATCAGAATTTTCCCGTAGCTCCTTCAAGGCTTTGAAATGTTGGGAATTTAAAATACTCTTCTCCTTTGGGTTGTTGTTTAAAAACTGGTGAGCTATATCCACCATCTTGGCCTTAAACCAACCCCGATCTTCATCGGATGTTGCGGTAAGAGGTTTGAGTTGGTCATATAAGTTTTCAAACTCAGCATGGATGGCTAAATCCGTAAATTGCGTGCGAGGAACACAAAATTTGAGTCCAAGGGATAAAGCTTCTTTCTGATGAGTAGATAGAGTAATATCAGAAAGATTTGTAACGTACTTATCAGGATTCACCGGGAAGACATCTACGCGGTTTCGATCATCGATTGAACTCTTCAATTTATTTTGTATATTCATCTTCGTTTTCTGAGTAACGTCTTTACAAAACTGAAGAAATTTCATGTGGCATATTATTGATAATTCAGATAAAATAAGCGACGCATCGGTATGAAGAACAAGTAGTCCTTGTAAGGTTTGTTTAACATTTTCGATATGTGACTTTGTAAGACGAACAAGATTAGAGATATTTGGTTGTAATTTACTGAATTTCAAAGTTTTATAAAATTGCCTCGGGAAAGAATGATTTTTAATACATAATTCATAAAATTCCAACGTGTTACGTTCGACGATAATTTTACACCTTAGGTTAACAAGTTCATTTAACCTTTTGATAGTGTGTGGAGGGAGCCTTCTCTTTAAAAATTTAAAACAATTAGTTCCCTTTATGAATTTAGATAAAGCAATAAGAAGACGTAATTTGTCTGAATCGTGTAATGTATTTGCGCAACACATTTCGAACAATCTGATCACACACGGACTTGTCATAGGAATATATATATAAAAAATTAATAAAGAGGTAAGAGGTGAGAAAAATAGACTTAGGTCAAGTTAAAAGGACATATTCAAGGTCAAAAAATAAAAATGAAGACCACTAAACCAAATAACAGAGGTAATAGTACATCTGCTATGGTATCAAAACAAAATTTACCAAGGAAGGTTTAATGTAATGACAAATTGTTTTTGAACACATAAAGGTGGCTTGAACTTTCTAATTGCTAGGGCTTCTACAAACTTTAGGATACGCCCCAAACACGTTTTATAGATAGGTTTAAAAGATCTGTTAACATCAATTTTATGACCTGTCTCTATAATATGTTTCGCAATAGAAGAGCTAGGTCTCCTGTTCTCACCGTTAATAGGTTCTGATGATTCCATTTGTTTCTGGAGCCATTTTGGAATATGCTCTGAAGCCCTTACTTGCAGAGATCGATGAGTCCTCCCTATGTATGTGTGTCCACACGTACATTCAAATTGGTAAATACAGTGGGATGTGACGTCATTTTTCGCATGTTCGAAGGGCTTAGATAGATATAATGGCTTTACATTCTCTAATATTATGATCTAATATTATATCAGAAAACGAAGATGAATATACAAAATAAATTGAAGAGTTCAATCGATGATCGAAACCGCGTAGATGTCTTCCCGGTGAATCCTGATAAGTACGTTACAAATCTTTCTGATATTACTCTATCTACTCATCAGAAAGAAGCTTTATCCCTTGGACTCAAATTTTGTGTTCCTCGCACGCAATTTACGGATTTAGCCATCCATGCTGAGTTTGAAAACTTATATGACCAACTCAAACCTCTTACCGCAACATCCGATGAAGATCGGGGTTGGTTTAAGGCCAAGATGGTGGATATAGCTCACCAGTTTTTAAACAACAACCCAAAGGAGAAGAGTATTTTAAATTCCCAACATTTCAAAGCCTTGAAGGAGCTACGGGAAAATTCTGATATAATTATTACTAAACCTGATAAAGGTTCTGGAGTCGTCATTATGAATAAAAGTGACTACAAATCAAAAATGATGTCTATTCTTGATGATAAGAGCAAATTTAGTCGTGATCCCTCCTCAGAAGATATTCAGTTGTTGCAGGGCACAGTGACAGCTAATCTACTGAAGCTTCATGGCCTAAATGCTATAAGTAAAGATAAACTTGACTCATTAAAACCGTCAGATTGTAAATTCCCACATATGTATGGGTTGCCAAAAATACATAAACCCAATAATCCTCTACGTCCTATATTGTCAATGTGCAAATCCCCAACGCATAAACTTGCTAAATGGTTAGTGGAATTATTGAATCCAGTCAAAACACAATTCTGTAAGTATGTGTTAAAAGATACATTTGAATTGGTTGATGTTCTTGATGATAGTAATATTAATATTATGAACAAGAATATGTACTCTTTTGATGTAAACTCGTTATTCACTAATGTGCCTTTGATCAAAACAGTTGACATTTTGTGTGATTATATTTCCACAAACAATTTTTTCATCCCATTCCCTATATCTTACTTAAAAGAATTATTACTTCTATGTACTAACAATGTTAGGTTTACATTTGAAGGTGACTGTTTCCGCCAAGTTGATGGTGTTGCTATGGGCAGTCCGTTAGGGCCCCTTTTAGCAGATATTTATATGTCGTACATTGAGAATTTATCGGAAGATTTAATCGAAAATGTGCCACTTTATAGAAGGTATGTAGATGATATCGTAGTCATCAGTGATAAGCCTTATTCTGCCACCTCAATTTTAAATCGAATGAATGAAGTTCAGAATAGCATATCACTTACATCTGTAGAAGAGGAAGATAATTGTTTATCTTTCCTAGACATATTGCTTAGTCGACGACTTGATGGGTCAATAAAAAGATCTATTTATAGAAAACCTACCTGGACAGGACAGTATCTTAACTACCACAGTTTCTGCCCTATTCGGTACAAAAGAGGCTTAGTAAGGTGCCTCTTCAGTAGAATCCGACGAATATGCACTGAAGACACGCTTGATGAAGAAGAAAGAATTTTGACACAAACTCTGGTTGATAACAATTATCCAGAAAAGTTCATCAGGAGATATAAAGTAGTCAGAACACCAAGACCCACTCTCCAACTCGCCCCTAAGAAAGACGTGTACATCAAGCTACCCTATATGGGACATCAAAACAGCTTGATAACTAGACAAAGGCTGAACGCTGCTGTTAAAAAGACTTTTTATGCAGCTAATATCATAATATTAGAGAATGTAAAGCCATTATATCTATCTAAGCCCTTCGAACATGCGAAAAATGACGTCACATCCCACTGTATTTACCAATTTGAATGTACGTGTGGACACACATACATAGGGAGGACTCATCGATCTCTGCAAGTAAGGGCTTCAGAGCATATTCCAAAATGGCTCCAGAAACAAATGGAATCATCAGAACCTATTAACGGTGAGAACAGGAGACCTAGCTCTTCTATTGCGAAACATATTATAGAGACAGGTCATAAAATTGATGTTAACAGATCTTTTAAACCTATCTATAAAACGTGTTTGGGGCGTATCCTAAAGTTTGTAGAAGCCCTAGCAATTAGAAAGTTCAAGCCACCTTTATGTGTTCAAAAACAATTTGTCATTACATTAAACCTTCCTTGGTAAATTTTGTTTTGATACCATAGCAGATGTACTATTACCTCTGTTATTTGGTTTAGTGGTCTTCATTTTTATTTTTTGACCTTGAATATGTCCTTTTAACTTGACCTAAGTCTATTTTTCTCACCTCTTACCTCTTTATTAATTTTTTATATATATATTCCTATGACAAGTCCGTGTGTGATCAGATTGTTCGAAATGTGTTGCGCAAATACATTACACGATTCAGACAAATTACGTCTTCTTATTGCTTTATCTAAATTCATAAAGGGAACTAATTGTTTTAAATAAAAACTAAATAAAAAAATTATGAAAAAAGAAATAGAAGTTGAAAATTGCCTAGAGCCGAAGTTTAGAGGCAAACTACCGAATGAAAGTAAATGGTATGAGTCTGCTACTTCAGAAGGACACCGAACTGTATACTTCAGAAAAACATATATTACTAGGCCCTCGCTTTTCTTTTACATAGTTCACGCACTCTGACTTTTGTGTTTAACTCCTTTTAAACCTCGTAAGTAGGTGAAATTATCACCTGTCCTTCACTTTAAACTAATAGTTCGTGATAAAGACTGTAAAATATGGGGAAAATAATATTTCTTTAAAAAAACAATAAAAAGTGATGAACCCCATGCCTGTTATATATTTTGAATTATTAACACCTTTTATATACTTCTGCACCTGTCTGCCGGTTTCCTTGTGTCTTCTCTTTTCAAACACACTGCTTTCAACGAAGGTGCTGATACAGCGCTGCAATTCTCTACTTATTCGTGATATTGCTAGCTCATCTGGTGAATAACGGGATCATCGGTATTATAAAATCTGCTGACAAGTTCAAAGTGGGTCTCATAAACAACTGGAAATGTCACAAGTATGATGTACTTACAAGTAAATTTAAAGTTTAATAGACTTTGAAACTCTTTCTGAATGATTTACTGATAATTGTTGTTTATTCTGCATCTCTTACGTATCACGTCAGCACCTGTACAGAAATGCTACTTACCTAGTGGAGTCCTCAAAATTGAACTTATCCAAATTTTACTACTATGTAAACAATGAACATATTGTACACTACTTTGTTTTAACCATAAACTCTGTACTTTGAACCTTACCTCGGGTTTTGAATGAAAATATAGTTCTGCCTTCGACTCTCCATCTTCTCCACTATCTCAACTGCCGTCGATCAATTTTAATCACCTGCTTTCTATCTCAAATTTTTGCAGGAGCACCGTAGTTATTCCTACACACTTTGGTCGACCTCCGGCAACGTCAACATTGGAGAACTAGTACTGGAGCAGTCTTCCCGCAGCACCTGGAGTCTATAACGTTTATTGTGGATTTTTGGATCTCTGTAAACCCAAGTAACCAAACTTTAATACATTCTTCCCGTAACTAAACTGATTTGGTACTTTATTTTCTATTTGAATTTGGGTAACTGAGCTAACCGAGTGAAAGGTCCACCACAATAATTGGTGAGCCCGATAAGAACACGGATTATTTTGGCATATTCATAATCTTAGAAGATTACAGCCAGTTTACAGTTTGTCAAAAATACGTACTTTTCCGTTCAGAAAATGTCGAATTACTTGAAGACACATGTCAGTCTCGTCTCATAAACCGTTAATGCCCAGCTCTCGCTACGCTCGGGCCCACGCTGTTCCTTTGAGTTTCAGAAACGCTTAGTAATAACGGACGCAAAAACCAAAACACCGATCTGCTGCTTGTTATTTCTTTATTGTTACACCAACATATAAAAGGAATAAACGAACTAAGGTCTGTGAACAAATATTACAATAATAAATCATCATATTACTTCTGACGATGTTTCACTCTTCTTTCTGAACAGCGACCGATGAGACGATGACTGTCGTATTGATGCCTCCGCGAAAATTGGGGAAGTTGATTTTGAGCAAACAACCAAGAATTGATCGTTCAATCTTCAACTCCATTGACACTCCCCGGCAAAAAAGGGATCCAACCCTTTTTTCCTTCACGACCAATGCACGTTGACTTGGATGCCATTGCGAGAACCTGGGTCACACGGACAGAGCTGAAATGGAAAACAAACAGAAAAGCCAACACACCACAAGCATACCCACAGCACAATCTCACACATCAATGACGACCTGCGCCTCCAGACAGAGACCTCCTCTTGACATCTTGCAACACAATCGCCACTTGCTAGAATGACTCTTGCAGAATGCAAAGTGACCATAGCACCAACTCACGATACTCTACGCACATCCTCTTATCTACTCACTACCAATTACCACTGAAATCGCTTGTCACTCATTCTGCCTCAGTTCTAGTAGCGGTGACGCATGCGAGCCTCAGTCGTTTACACTCTTTCTCCCCGGCGTGTCGGACCGCAGCTAACAATTATCTCCGTGTGCATTTCATTCTCAGCAATAGCCTAGCCTCCCCGGCGTATACGACCCATCTGCTGTCCTTAACATCAATCAATTCATTCATGGATGTAGAAGACTCGAAACAACTTCAGAAGTAATCACGACGAAAATTTTAACAAAATTACGCAATAAAAACAAGATACGAAAACAACGAGTAAACACAATGAATCCAAAATACACCAATTGATATGACACACCACACGTATATACAAATAGTACAAACAACCTCGCGATCATGTCTTGGTGGAATTCCTTTGAAGAATTGCAGGACTTACACCAGTACGCCTACAACCCTTCTCAGGTTGACGATTGTAAGTTGTGGAATGTCCGGACACAAACAAGATTAACCAACAATTACATCAATTGGAACTCACACAACTATTTAACACAAACATATGTACAATCAACACATCAAATGTTGTGGATTCTGACACGACAAACTACCCTTGAAGAACTGTAGGACTTACAGCAGTACGCCTACATTCCTTCTCAGGTTGATGATCCAAGTGGAAGTCGTCCGGACACAAACAGAATTACCAACAGCTAGATGACAGATGATATCAATTCAGTATATACAATATGAACATATGTACAAAATCACACACCAAGCACATTGGACTGCTCATTGATGCGCTACCCTTTGAAGAATTGTAGGACTTACAGCAGTACGCCTACAACCCTTCTCAGGTTGACGCCCTAGGTTGGAAAATCGTCGCAGAGTTCATTTGCTAACTTCCTTCTATCAGCTATATCCTCAAATCTGAACGGCAACACGCCCATGTCATTGTATCGTAGAATATAGATGACCAACAAACACACGACATATCTCATCAACCAAGTATAGAAACAGAGTAATTTACACCAAAGATAATAACATTCAAATAGTAACTTGAAACTAGAAATGCCTTTATTCGTGCAAGTCAATTTAACAATAACTCTCTCCTTTACACTTGGCTTATCCACACTAAACTGACCATTGATATTCGTCCTTTCAAACGAACTGATACTACCATAGTCATTGCACAAGATACTTGAGTTGATGGGCATCTGTTTCATTGTGGATGAAAACACCAACGATGACTGAGTGACACAAGGTGATGAACTTAGCGGTGGATCAGAAGCTGTTCTTGTTCGGCTTTCAGATAGTTGTCCAACTGCAAGATTACCACCACTGCTGTCTTTCACTACTAGTTCGGGTTTAGCACTATCATCTGATGATAGGTGGGCTACACGCTGATCAATTACACTGACTGTCTCACAAGTATGCACACCTTCTGGAACTGCATCTGCGTTCAATTCTACTTCACGTTGTAGTTGTACAGAACCTTTATTTAACTTAGCAGTAGTAGGCATATCCCTCATCTCATAATGATCAACCAAAGACAACTGTGAAGTATCATGATCATTATCACGAATATTCACTTTACCGTCAACTTCATCATTTTCAAACTCTTTAATAACAGAAGTAGACAATTTTGGTTCCTCCTCACAAATCATTAAAGGTTTTATAACTTCACTCTGACTAGTTATACTTTGTAAACTTGTGGAGTCAGAACTCCACTCTGAAGCAGTAACTCTATTCTGTGACACTCTATTCAACAACGGCTTACCAGTTGCAACTACAGACTTCTTCACAACACCGTTATCGTCACACAATTCGGAGTCAGACCTGGAGTTTACATTTAGCTTATCACTGAACTTGCTCACTGGTTCACAGTTCACTTCTGTATGCACCTCTTGCAAACGTGTACAACACAACCGTGTTTGTCTTGCATCTTGTAACTTATCTGTTGAGGATGTACTACGAAACCTGTTACACTCACTAGGTCTATATGCATTACTAGACATCATGGAGCCTTCTCGATATCCACCTCTCTGAGGCCCCTTCGTCATCAATGATTGCATTTTACCCTCAGACTGCTCTATTCTAGGGGTGAGATGTAATAGACTGGCGAACTTGCTCATAGATTGATTGACACTAGTATTTACCAGTTTCAGGATATCATCAAACTTTGGCTCGATACCCTCATCCTCCATACGGGAGCTCATCTTCACCCACTTCCTTTGCAGTCGAGTAGGTAGACGTCTTGCTATTACTTCTAGTATAAAACTCGAGTTGAGGTCACTCATTCGATTCATCGAAATCATTCCATTCTTGTAAATTAGCAAATTATCTAAAAACTCAGTGAGTGCCTGGGAGTCATCCTGTAATTGACCACCATTACCCTTAACAGCCTCGAATAATTTCCCTGCAATCATCGAAGGTCTTCCAAACCTTTGACGTAATATGCTCATAGCCTCGTAGTAGCCCTCTTTTGGCTTCATAAACTTACAGCACTGTATAGCTCTTGCAGCATCTCCAGTGCAATATCTCATCAAATACATTAACTTCAATTCATCATTTAATAAAAAACCACTCAACATGATCTCAAACTCCTTTACAAATTGTAAATAATCAGCCGGGTTTCCATCAAAACACCGTGGTTCAAATTTAGGGAGTTTGATGTTCCTATTATCCCTGAACGGCGAAACAGTAACATCAACCATGTCATGCTTAACATCAGACACATCGTTACAATTAACAGACAAGTCACCATGACTTACTTTCCTGTTTGCATCCAAGACACTCTGTCCCTTCTTTGACCCAGGCATTGTTGAACTTGACCCAATTCCAAAAAGTTCCAGATATTGCTTGTTCAAAGAGGACTTGACCGGCACCAGGAAAAATGAACGGCGACTATCCAAACTTTCACCAACTGTTTGAATCCGCCAGATCTGTTTCTATCGTCAGAAACTGTCAGTCACGTCTCATAAACCGTTAATGCCCAGCTCTCGCTACGCTCGGGCCCACGCTGTTCCTTTGAGTTTCAGAAACGCTTAGTTATAACGGACGCAAAAACCAAAACACCGATCTGCCGCTTGTTATTTCTTTATTGTTACACCAACATATAAAAGGAATAAACGAACTAAGGTCTGAAAACAAATATTACAATAATAAATCACAATATTACTTCTGACGATGTTTCACTCTTCTTTCTGAACAGCGACCGATGAGACGATGACTGTCGTATTGATGCCTCCGCGAAAATTGGGGAAGTTGATTTTGAGCAAACAACCAAGAATTGATCGTTCAATCTTCAACTCCATTGACAACACATGTTAGAAATGACTTTTTGTGATTTTTTTCTCAGTTTAATGGATTACACATGGACATGATGAGGTGGGATAGCTCGTTCTGGTAATTGTTTCATCTACTTTGTTGTGCACTTTTCCTGATGCTGGCAAGGCTTCTCCACATGTATTTCTTTAAGGAAAAATCTGCAGAAATACTTAGAAATTATATACGCATAGTATTTCCTTATTTTATGGCATAAACTTGGTGTTTGCAGACAGATGCGATATCGATTTTGTATTCTTGAAAAATGTTGACCGACGTAGTTATATACAATTCAACTAGTTATTCCGTTATTTCAAACATATTTCATGGTTAATTATTGTGTTTACACTGATAACAATGTCTACATCTGTATAATTCTTATGTTCTCTTTCAGATAATATCTACCTTCGGGAATTTCATGGATTTGGGTGATAAAGAAAAAGATACCTGCACTGTGGTCAATTTTGTATTACATGTTAATTCATAATTAATAAATGTATTCCTCGTTATTCGTTTGTTCATTCTACTTGATAAGACCGAATATAAGCCCTTGCATAATTCGTGAGGTATAGAATATATGAGGCTATCTTTGAAATACCAAGTGGGAGCAGATATTCGGAGAAGCCTATTGGTAAAAGATTATGTTGCTGTCAAATAAAGTAAATATGTCTGAATCGTAGAGGAGGTATTGCTATTATAAAGCGTTTCGTGTTATCTATCGTCGTTGCAGAATACATATACTGATTGGCGATTCATAGTCACAAAGTGAGAATAAATTTACCTGAGATAGTTTGCTTGTGATTTCTGCATGTCACAGTGTACCATAAGGAGAGAGTATACCTATGCTGCTAGATGTATAACTCTGTGCAACTACGGTTATCTTAATAATTAAAAACAGAATGCCTAGGGTTCTCAGCCACGGAACACGATACGTTGCCGTCTGCTCATATAATCATGTAAACAAAAGTTTTCCAGACGCCGCATTCGCTCCTAACAGTTTACCCTCAACTTCTAACTTAGCACGTGTTACTTATGTTACTGGAAGACAATCGCATTACAACGGAAGGAACACAGATTCATTGAAAAATTCTTCATTAAACAAAAGTCAGATTTCAAATGTACAGATAATTCAGATGAGTAGTTAGCGTCAGTAAGTTCCATCTGCGTAAACAGCACATATATGTTTTTCCATAAGTCTGGAAAGGTTTAAGAAAAGAATAAGTAACTTAGACATTACATGTTTGATCTGAATAAAAAATTTTCCTGATAGGCATTTACAAGTAATCACTTTACAAACAATACATATATATATATAATTAGCTTGATAATTTTCACTAAACTCAAGGGACTTCGCAATTTATCGTTGGTCGATACCTAGTGGGTCCATCGAAGCATCATGAAATGGTAAAATTATTTAACGATAAGTTATGCAGTAGTGTGGAGTCCTCAAAAATGAACTTATCCAAATTTTACTACTATGTAAACAATGAACATATTGTACACTACTTTGTTTTAACCATAAACTCTGTACTTTGAACCTTACCTCGGGTTTTGAATGAAAATATAGTTCTGCCTTCGACTCTCCATCTTCTCCACTATCTCAACTGCCGTCGATCAATTTTAATCACCTGCTTTCTATCTCAAATTTTTGCAGGAGCACCGTAGTTATTCCTACACACTTTGGTCGACCTCCGGCAACGTCAACATTGGAGAACTAGTACTGGAGCAGTCTTCCCGCAGCACCTGGAGTCTATAACGTTTATTGTGGATTTTGGATCTCTGTAAACCCAAGTAACCAAACTTTAATACATTCTTCCCGTAACTAAACTGATTTGGTACTTTATTTTCTATTTGAATTTGGGTAACTGAGCTAACCGAGTGAAAGGTCCACCACAATAATTGGTGAGCCCGATTCGAACCTTTTTTTATGGTTAACCCGTTTTCGAACCTTTTTGTTTCGATAGTTAACTCGTTTTGAACATTTTTGTTGCTTTTTTGGCCTTATAAACGCGCATCGCTTTAACTATTGTTACCACAAGTTTTTCTATTTTGCGTATCTCTATACTTATTATTATATGACAATGGCTCCACCTAAACGTACCACTGTTGCTGAAGAAGGTAATAAAGGCGAAGAGACACAGAACTCTGCTGTTAACGCCTTGCCGGATTTAAGACTTCCTCAATTTGATCTGGCTGAACCACGTGTCTGGTTCACAATTATTGAACAGTTGTTTGCAGCTCGAGGTATTACGTCGCAGATCGCCATGTATGGTTGCGTATTAGCAGCAATTCCCACGGAAGTACTACGAGAGGTTATCGATGTCATAGACAGCAAACCTACAGACTCTCAATATGACAAACTAAAAGCTGCACTCATCCAGCGGACCACTCTCTCCGATGAGAAACGCATACAACAACTACTTACTTCGTGTGATCTAGGTACAAAAAAGCCATCTCAACTACTTAGACATATGCGCCAGTTGATTGGGTCACACAAAGTAGATGAGTTAATTCTACGTCAGATGTTCTTACAACGTTTACCACAAAATGTTCAACAAATCCTAACAATATCTTCTAGGACGACAGACCTTGAAGAATTAGCTAAAATGGCAGACGATATCATGGATGTGTTATCAAATAATGGCATAAATAGCGTGTCTACAGAGGCAGTACCACCAAGCCCTTCCACATCTATGAAGGACGCACCAATGTTTTGGTTACTTTCCCAGTTAACATCTCAAATGCAAGATTTACGACTGGAAGTGTCCGAGCTTCGAGCACAAAGGAACCAGTCACATACGGTATCCAAGCAACGGCGATCAAGATCTAGACGACGTTCTAGAACACCGTCTCAAAGCCGTAACATTTGTTGGTATCATAGGAGGTATGGGCATAATGCCCTGAAGTGTATTCGACCGTGTATGTACAACAGTAGTAACTCATCTCAGGGAAACTCCCCAGCCAGACAGTAATGGCGACGGCTGTTAATGGCAATCACCCCAGTCGCCTTTTCTATGTGAGGGATTTGACTACCGGCACATTATTCCTGGTAGATACAGGCGCCGAGGTCAGTGTTATTCCCCCCTCACTATCCAGGCGATCAGCCAAAATACCTGGAAAACTTTCACTCGTGCTGCCAACCAAACCAACATACAGACGTATGGCGAACAGTCAATGATTTTAAACTAGGACTACGCCGACGTTTCACATGGATCTTCATAGTAGC